GGGAGCGCCACTGCGCTTCCCAAGCGGCGCACTATCCAGTGCGCCACCGGGCCGGCCCTGATACTGTCTTTTGATTGCCAAAATTTAAAAATTTTCTTGTAAGTTTAATTTGTCTATTTTTTGTTTTGTTGCCTGTGCATTTATTGTCATATCCAAGAAACCATAAATCATGGCTATGATTTATTACAGAGAAGGGATAAAAAGCAAAATCAGTGAAGGGAAAAGCCTCATGGGGTAAAGTCTGGAGGAAACCAGCCACAAAATTCCAGAGTCCTTTCCCAGTGGAGTCACACAGGATGAGCTTATTTCCCCCAGCAACAGGTCATGACGTGTATAGTCTACCCGGAAAGCTCATTAGAGACTCAACAACCACAGTTTTCACTGGGGGCTGGTCACGTAGGCACTGTGCCCAGACTCCCAGAGGAGAGCAGGTGTTCAGCATAAACCACATTGTTTGTACAAACAGTTTAAGCAGAGTGAGCCACTCTTATCAGTTGGGGGGTGGGAACCCTCCCAAAATCTGAGTTCCCAAGACACCAGCCAAGGGCCAACCTCTTGAGCAGGACTTGTAAGGAGAGCAGTTATGCCTGCAGTGCTAACTCTTTCCTGCACAGTAGGGAAGTGTGGGGCTATTTAGGACACGTGTAGGAGGTTGAATTGAAATAATTTGGTGGTTCATGTGTTCGTTCAGTCACCATATGACACAGCATTTATTTGCGCAGCACAGTATGAGGGACAGGGTGGTAAAAGGAGAAAGCCTCCAGGCTTGTGCTTATTAAGCCGCCAATCCAGTGAGGGTGACAGAAAACAAACACCTATGGAGCAACTAAGTGTTTGGTTACAAATAGGTAAGGGCCGTGAAGAGAGGGGGAGGGTCCTATTAGAGAAAGGGGGAGGGTTCTGTTAGCTCACTCTATTGAGGAGGAGACCTCAGCAAGGGGTGCTCTGAGGAGTGATGTTTAAGTGGATCCAGAAAGAAAAGGTGTGATGTAGGCATTAGTCATAGTGGGGACAGGGTGGGAGGAAAGGGACTTGGGGGGCTGAGTACTCCATGTAAAGATGTCATCACTGATTTTTTTTTTTTTTAATTAATTGTCGGGGTCTATAGAGTGGCAGAGAGGCATGATATTTCTTTCTTTTTTCAATATTTCTGATTAGAGACAGGCATGGCACTTCTTGATATCGAGGACACGGTGGGAAGAGTAGGCTTTGGAAGAAGATGATAACTTTTTTTTTTTTTCTTAAAACAACAGAAATTTCTCTCTCACAGTTCTGAAATCCAGAAGTCTGAAATCAGGGTGTCAGCAGGGCCATGCTCCCCCTGAAGGCTTAGGAACAAGTCATTCCCTGACCGTCCTGTCTTCGGGTGGTGACCTGCAATCCTTGGTGTTCCTTGGCTGTACACCTGTTACTCCTGTCTTTGCCTGCGTAGTCATGTGGCTTTCTCCCTGTGTCTTTGTCTTCACATGGCATCTTCCTCTTCTTATAAGGACCCAGTCATGTTGCATTAGGATCCACCCTCATGACCTCATCTTAACTTGATTACATCTGCAAAGACCCTATTTCCAAATAAAGTCACATGCATGGGTACTGGGGATTAGGACTTCAGTATATCTTTTAGGGGGGACACAATGCAAGGATAACACCCCATTCTTCCCTCTGGGTACTGTTCTGTCTCTTTGATCCCTTCATGGACTATCAGCCCTTTGTACCCGTTTCCTCACCTTCCACTCCCTGCCTCCACCATTCCAAGGTTCTTCCCTCTGGGTACTGTTCTGTCTCTTTGATCCCTTCACGGACTATCAGCCCTTTGTACCCGTTTCCTCACCTTCCACTCCCTGCCTCCACCATTCCAAGGAACAGCACTGCACTGTGATCTCCATCCGTGGTGGGAATTCCAGTTGATGTGTTGGGTCATCCAGTCCTCCTCCTTGAAGCCCACCCACCCTGGGCTTCAGTGACCACTCCCCCAGCCTCCTCCTCTGTCTCCTGTGTGAGCTTCTCCTCTGTCTCACTGCTGGTGTCCCCTGACCCTCCTCTTCTCGTCTCCCGTGGCACTCTCTGCCTTGGCAGGCAACCTCACCCTTTCTCTGGGAGTCAATTTGTAAATCTAGGTGACAAGGCCCAAATCACCAGGCTGACTCTCACCTCTGAACTCCAGACCCAAATACCCCTCCTCTTCTCGTCTCCCGTGGCACTCTCTGCCTTGGCAGGCAACCTCACCCTTTCTCTGGGAGTCAATTTGTAAATGTAGGTGACAAGGCCCAAATCACCAGGCTGACTCTCACCTCTGAACTCCAGACCCAAATACCCAACCATTGGCTCAAATCTCTCCACTTGATAGACGGAATGTGAGTGGAACTTAACCAAAATGAGGCCAACAGGAAAGAGCCTCAAACCACAGAGAATTCATCTCAGGCCTGGAAATCTCATGGAATTAGGTTGGCTGGGTTTCAAACTTGCTCGGGAACCATGACCTCTTTTTCTTTACAGTTTCCCCCTTTTGGGATGGGAATACCTATTCTGTGCTAGCCTCATTGTATTCTGGAAGCAGATAACTTAGTTTCTGGTTCCACAGATTCACAGATGGAGAGGAATTTCACCCCACAATGGACTACTCTCAAGTCTTGCCCACACCTGATTTAGATGATTTATATGATGAGATGTGGGACTTTTTGAGTTGATGATACTTAGATGAGATTGTAGACTTAGAGTTGATGCTGGAATGGGCTAAAACTTTGAGGATGTTGGGATTTCATGGATATATTTTGCATGTGGGAAGGACGTGAATTGGAGAGGGGTCAAAGGGCAGACTGTTATATTTGAACTGTGTCCCCCCAAAATATGAAGTCCCAACCCCAGTCTTTCAGAATGTGACCTTATTTGGAAATACAGTTGTTGCAGATATAATCAGTTGAGACGAGGTCATACTGGAGTAGGGTGGGTCTTAGTTCAGTGTCTGCGTCCGTATGCAATGAGAAGAGACACAGAGACAGACAGAGGGGAGAGGGCCTCGTGACGACGGAGGCAGAGAGCAGATGATGCATTTACAAGCCAAGGAACGCCAAGGATCAATAGTCACCACCAGAAACTAAGAAGAGGCAAGAGAGGATTCTACCCAGAGTCTCAGAGGGGGTGTGGCCCTGCTCATACCTTGATTTGGGACTTCTGTCCTCCAGAAGAGGAGAATAGATTTCTGTGGTTTTAAGTGACTCATTTTGTGGTACTTAGTTATAGCAGCCCCAGGAAACTCACGTAATAAGGTTAGGGATTGGATGTTCCAGGTTTAAATACTGAGGGGAAAGGTCACATCAGGAGGGAGAGGTAAGGTTACCAGGGGGCAAGGAATGGCTAGGGAGTTGCTTGCTTGTCTGTCATAGGCCACAGGGAGGATGCCTGGTGTGGAGGGAGAGTTGGTATCGATTTAGAGGCAGATGGGAAAGATGTTTCCTTCTCAGGCTGACTTGCAAGGTGGTATCAGTTTATCTGTATCCTTACTTGTTTATATGTCCCCTACTTGTGGTAAGTGCTGGGGTGATACTAGCCCTGCAGAGTGGGGGTAGAGGAAGGGGCCGAGAGCTGGGGAGAAAAAGCTGTCCCAGGCCCGAGTCAAGGTGGGGTGGTGGTACCACAGGAGCTTGGAAGTCTGCTGGTGCATTGAGACTGTGGCTCCTGAGATTTGGAATGGAGAGAGTGTGTGTGTGTGCGTGTGTGCATGTCTGTATATATCTGTGTTTGTGTGTGTGCTAGTCTGTGTGTGTATGTGCATACATGTGCATGGTGTGTGTATACATGTGTGCATGTTTATGTGCATGTGTGCGTGTCTTTGCGTGCATGTGTGTGTTCCTGTGAGTGTGTACACGTGTGTGTATGTGTGCACGTGTACATGTGGTCACTCACAGGCACGGTGGGCAGCCTCTGGGCCTGCGTGTGTACTCCCTGGGCCAGGCACTGATGCTCAGTTCTGCTCTCTTCTCCCCTAGCTCTGCCTGCTCAGGACCCTGCCTTGCTCCAGGAGGACAGCATGTTTGAGGAAGCCATGGCTCCTGGGTTGCCACTCACTTGTTCACAGGTGAGTAAGAAATCCTTCTTGCTCTAAAAGAGCACTATTGTGCACAGAGGCAAAGAGGCTGGATTTGCCCCCTTCCTGTGACCTGCCTAGACCTTCTTGACCCTACAGGGTTGGTCTCCAGGCTTCCAGGAACTGGGCATCTTGCAACGTGTGGGGAACAGCCCAGGGAGCAATTCCACCCCCACATTCAGACCCTTCTGAGGCTGCTGAGCACTGGGAGGGAAAACGAACCAAGGATCTGAGCTGTCCTTGTTTTGTGGTCTTCATTGTCTCACTGAGCAGAGTCCAGTCATATACCAGATGCTTCTTGTGGCTGCCGTGTGCTCAGGTCTTGCTGGACCTTGGACCTGTAGGGGAATACATCTGCAAGAGCTTCCTGGCTTGTTGTCTATAGATAAGTCCTTTCATGAAGTAGGGTTCTTTGGAATTTAGTTATAGCTTCTTGCTGCTATTACTCAGGGAGTGTAGAGTGACAGAGAAGAGTTCTAGATCCGAGGGCTGAGCTGAGGGCCAAATTCTGGAAGACCTCAGAACTCTGTTGATTCTCAATTCTGCAGGTCTGCCAGCCCCATACCTTGAGTATCAGTGGGGTCAGTCCCTGGCTGAGCCGGGATGGTATATGTTTTAGGAATCAGTTACCTTTGCGGATGTGGCCGTGGTGTTCACCCCAGAAGAATGGGTGTTCCTGGACTCTGCTCAGAGAAGCCTGTACAGAGATGTCATGCTGGAGAACTACAGGAACCTGGCCTCTGTGGGTAAGGCTGACTCATGCAGCAACAATGGATTCCAGGAACTGTGTGTGTCTGGGAATCAAGAGGTAAAAGGACAGACAAATCCTGACCTCATGATGCTTACAGTCTAGTGGCTTCCCCATGGAAACAAAGATGTATCTGCTGATCTGTCTCTCCATGGTTAAAAGCTTCTGGGCTTTTCAAGGTATCCCTGAGCTGGGCCCTGGGTTTTGGAGACTAGGGGGCCCTCATGTCCTCTGAGTCCTAGTGAGGGGCTTGTATTTAGTTCCTTAGTGAAAGAGCTTTGCTGTGTCCGTAAGAATTCAGTCATGCTTATTTTGCTAGTCCCATCTCCAGAGCCCTTAAAGACTTCAGAATGTCAGTCTCACTGTCACGGCAGGGCATGGTCTTCTCATGCCACATGTCTCTTCCCACACGCAGGAGATCAGCTATGTAAATCCAGCACATTGTCCCATTTGGAGCAAAGAGAAGAACTGTGGCCGACTGAGACAGAAGTCTTCCTGGGAGCCTGTCCAGGTGGGTGCCAGGCAGGTCAGGCGAGCATCTGCTCTGGAAACGTCAATGAGGGAGATATTTTCAGTGCCCTTGACCGATTGACTGAGAAGACTGCTTGGTTGAACTCCTTTAGTAAATTCCACCTTCTTTCCTCTTTCCCTTCTTTCTTGTTTCTAATACTTTACTTTGATTTCATATAAAGATTTGTCCAATCGTCTCTTCATATTTAGTATTTCCAAGTGTATATTTTATCCAGTTCCTCCCCACTGGACAGTATTGTTAATATTTTCTCTCAGCATCAATCCCAATCTTCATGGAATTCTTTCTCAGTGAATTATCTATTATTTCCATCCCTTGTTCCTGTGATTACATAACTCCTCACATAGCCAAATGCCTTAAAATTTTCCTTTACTCATTGATACATTCCTCTTCTTTGCAGTTTCTTCCCATATTTAGCATCAGTATTTGAAAAAAAAATGTTCATGTGCCTTGCTTACTTTTTTGGTCCCCTTGATTTCAGTTTCTTTCTTTGCGTCCTTAATTTTTTTTCCCCTAATTTATTTCAGAGCCTCAACTTCAACCCCAAGAGTCAATTCCTAGCCAAGGTATTTTTGCAGGGATTCCATCCATTGGCCTGGCAAGGGTAAGGTTCACAAGGTATTATTCTTGGTCGTCTGTAGTGGGAGGCGTTTGGGTCACTTTAGTTTAGAAATGCAGCTCACCCAGGAGAAAGCGGTTTCTTGGAGGGAGAGTCTATGAATGTCACAAATTGGTGGAAATCTCTAAACATAGATCAAGACATGTCTTTACAGAGTTCCCACAAGTAACCATTTTTACAAACATGATACAGATATCAAGCATTTAAAATGTAATTTGGCCTTAATTCAGAAAAACTGCGTCTCAGAAGCCCTGTGAAAGTAATAAAAAGACACCTTTTTGTGGCAGCACATCCACCCTGTTCTACTTGAGGGAACTCAGGGTAGAAATGTAGACTCACTGAAACAGTAAAAGGCTTCAGGTACAGAAACATCTTTAGGTGGGGGGAGTATCTATAATGTAATAAGCCTTTGTTCTTCACATTCCCCTTATCATCAGGAACAATCTCAGCCTGGAGAAAAACTCTGTAAATATAATGAACTTGGGAAACCCTTTAACAGCAATGAACCGCTTTTTCAGTACCAGAGAATTCATGCTAGAGTGGCCCCCTGTGAATGTCCAGGGAGCAGGAAATCCTTCTTCCAGAGCAGTCACCTAATGATACCTGAGAAGATCCATAGTGGAGATAAAACCTATGCATGTAACAAATGTGAGAAGTCCTTCAGATACAGCTCTGACCTCATCAGGCACGAGAAGACTCATACGGCAGAGAAGTGCTTTGAATGTCAAGAATGTAGGCAAGCCTTCAAGTATTCCTCGAATCTGCGGCGACACATGAGAACTCACACTGGAGAGAAGCCCTTTGAATGTAGTCAGTGTGGGAAAACCTTCACGAGGAACTTTAACCTGATTTTGCACCAGAGAAACCACACAGGAGAGAAGCCCTATGAATGTAAAGATTGTGGGAAGGCCTTCAACCAGCCCTCATCTCTTAGGAGCCACATGAGAACTCACACTGGAGAGAAGCCCTTTGAGTGCAGCCAGTGTGGGAAAGCCTTCAGGGAACACTCGTCACTGAAAACACATCTGCGAACCCACACGCAAGAGAAACCGTATGAGTGCAACCAGTGTGGGAAGCCTTTCCGGACAAGCACTCATCTGAACGTGCACAAGAGGATCCACACGGGGGAGAAACTGTATGAGTGCGGCACTTGTGGTCAGGTCCTGAGCCGTCTCTCGACCCTTAAGAGTCACATGCGAACTCACACTGGAGAGAAGCCCTATGTGTGCCAGGAGTGTGGGAGGGCCTTTAGCGAGCCCTCGTCCCTCAGGAAACACATGAGGACCCACAGCGGCAAGAAGCCGTATGCATGCCAGGAATGCGGGCGTGCCTTTGGTCAGTCTTCACACCTTATTGTGCATGTGAGAACCCACACCGCTGGGAGACCCTATCAGTGCAATCAGTGTGAGAAGGCCTTCAGGCACAGCTCATCACTGACTGTGCACAAACGGATCCATGCTGGGAGGGAGAACTTTAGGAATGGTGGCTTGTCTTTATCAGTGTCTCATTCTTATGTGGGGCCCCTTCCTAATTAACTTACAGTTTGTGAAAATATAAATGTTTGGGACTGTTCTTGTTTCTTGTAGTATTCGTTTAGCTGTATCCCATGTTTTGATGTATAATATTTTCATTTTGGTTTAATTCTAAATATTGTCTTACCTTCCATTATCACTTATTCTTTAACCTATGTGTTATTTGGAATTAGATTTTTCAATACCAGGACATAGGCATGTTTTCATAGAGGTATAATTACTTACAGTGAAATACATAAATCTTATGTGTACCATCTGATGAGTTTGACAGATGTATACGTATATGTAACCAATACCTCATTCCTGATAGAGAACGTTTCTATCATTCTGGAAAGTTCCTGCATGTTATACGGCTGTGTCGTCGTAGTTGCCTTTTTTTGTTGTTGTTAGTTTCTAATTTCATGACATGGTGAGCAGAGAATGTGGTCTTTATGTTATTGAATCTTAGGTATTTGTTGAGATTTGCTTTTAGGGCTAGCATGGCATGTTCTGCTAGTTGCTGAGCAAAACTGCCCCTTCTTCCTTAGAAAAGAACCTGGGATTTTTGTTCAGGTTGGTAATGTGCATTATTAAAACACCTTTCTTGTAGCCGTGTCCCCCTGTCCTGGCCAGTATAAGTATGAGAAGACATTGGGTATGACTCTGGGGAAAGATGTTGCACAGGAATGATTTAATTTAGCCAGATCTCTCTACTCCTTGCCTTTTGTACATGCAGACGTGATGCCCAGAGCGACAGTAGCCATCCTGTGACCATGAGGGTAAAAGCCACGGCTCAAGGAGAGTGTGGCTGGAAGTCACAAACATCCTTGTTCCCTAATCTGAAAATGTTTAGAATATATTTATAGAGTTGGCATCTTCATGTGACTGTACCAACCTTGGATTATTTATATCTGGATGTCTGGTTACATGAAAAAAAAATGCATTTCTTACTGGAATAAGACTTTTTGCTTTGTTTTGTTTTTTTTGAGGAGGTGGGGCAAGTGGGAATGGGCTTATTTTAGCTGGATGCAATCCCTCACTTATGCACTTAGTGTATGTCAATTTTTTATAAATGCTTCATGGGTGGTTTAAATCAATGTATTGTATTCTATGCATGTCCAATAGATTGAGCATATTATCTGTGTTTAAAAACCATCTATGCATTTAAAAATATTGATCTCTGATTTATCGTTGACTGAGAGAGGTGTGTTAAACTCTCTCACCACGACTGTGGATTGTTGAATAATCCTTGTAATTCTGTTGATTTTTAAGTTTATACATATATATTTTGAAGCAATGGAATTAAGTGAAGAGAGTTTGACAATTTATACATTTCAGCGAATTGTTGCTTTTATTCTTTTAAAGCAACCATTTTTTTTCCTGTCGATGAACATTTAACCATTCATCAGAATGGTAGCAAACGTGGATTTAGAGCTTACTACACGTTGAGCATCCCTAATCTAAAAATCCCAAATCCAAAATGCTTCACAATCCACATGTTGGTTTTTTGTGTGTCAACATGATCCTCAAGGGAAATGCTCATTGGAGCATTTTGGATTCAGATTTTCAGATTAGGGATGCTCAGCTGGGTAAGTATTGACAAATATTTCAAAATCTGAAAAAAATCTAAAATCCAAAGCACTTCTAGTCCTAAGCATTTCAGATAAGGGATACTCAACCTGTTTCAATAGACAGTAGCCACTGCCTGAAGCTTTGCCTCTTTTAAGTGATTTAGTCCTCACAATGACACTTTGAAGTAGGTGCTTTTATTCCCCAGTTCACAAATGAAGAGGCTGAGGCCCAGCAAGTTAAGATGAGTTACTCAAGATCAACCATGTGGCAAGTGATAGGATCTGGTTCTCTTCACAGTATTTTGACCCAGAGGACTATATCTATTATTGTTCGCACAGGGTTATTTTGTGTGTGTGTGTTTTAAAATTCTCTCAAGTTAAGATGAGTTACTCAAGATCAACCATGTGGCAAGTGACAGGATCTGGTTCTCTTCACAGTATTTTGACCCAGGGGACTATATCTATTATTGTTCGCACAGGGTTATTTTGTGTGTGTGTGTTTTAAAATTCTCTCAATTGAGGTATAACTTACACAAAAGTTCATAAATCTTAGTGCACACCATGATGAATTTTATATATGCCTACACCTGCCACTCCCCACATCAAGACATAAAATATTTTATTATTCCAGAAGTTTCCTTTTAGCCCCACCCCAATCAGTAAGCCTCATCCCCAGAGGTTACCACTATTCTGCCTTCTATCATTATAGATTTGTTTTTACACAGCCCTCTAGTGTTTTTTTTCATGTAATACCGTGTCTGTGAGACTTATCTATGTTCCATTTTCAGTAGTTTATTATTTTTTATTGCTGTGTAATATTACATTGTCTGAATATACCACAATTAATAAATTCCACCGTTATTCTGCTCATGGACATTTGAGTTATTTTCAGGTTTTGCTGTTATAAATAAAGCTGCTATAAATTGCGCAAGTCTTTATGGACGTATGTATTTCTTTCTCTTGGGTATAAACATAGGAGCGAAATTGCTGGATCATTGGGGAGGCGTATCTTTTGCTTCAGTAGATATTACAAGATTTCCCATGTGGTTGAAACAGTTTACGCTTCTATCCTCAATGAATGAGTTTCACATGTTCCACACCTTGGCAACACATGATATTGTCAATTGCATTTTAGCTATGTTAGTGAGTAGGTGTGGTTATTCAGGCTTTAATTTGCATTTTCTTGCTAAGTAACTTCAGTAGTAGATGGTTGCTACAATCGTTTCTTCCATCCCTCTAGGTACATCTTTTTCAAGTGACTGTGCTGCTTGCCATAGTTTGGATGTGATTTGCCCCCACCAAAGCTCATGTGGAAATCTGATGCCCAGTGTGGCAGTGTTGGGAGGTGGGGCCTAGTGGAAGATGTTTGGGTCAGGGAGGTGGATCTCTCATGATTAGATGAATACTTCCCCTGGGGAGTGAGTGAGCTCTCACAGGAATGGGTTAGTTCCTGCTAGAGCAGATTCTTGAGAGCTTTTTTGGAGGTTCTAGCAGGGGAGCACAGCTACTCATATACCTTTGACTGAAGAATGGTCCTCTCCTCTATTGGGGAAGGTCATAATCTTCAACCGAACTTCCAGCTTTGGGAGGGACACACATGGAGTGGTGAGGGAGGAAAGGGACTCTTGCCTAGCCCGCCAGATCAGCCAAATCAACCCTGGTGATCAATGGGGTGACAGATGTCGCAGCCAGATTGCCCTCACATCCTAGAGCAGATTCTTAAAAAGATTGGCACCTCTCCCATCTCTCACTTCTCTTGCCATGTGATATTTTTAAATTTATTTTTTCATTGTACATGTTTATGGGGTGCGGTTTGTTGTTTCAGTACATACATATATTGTGTAATGATCCAATCGGAATAGTTAGCGTATCTGTCACCTAAACATTTACCATTTTTTTGTGGTTATAACATTCAAAATGCTCTTTTCTGATTATCTTGAAATATACAATCCAATATTATTAGTTATAGTCACCCCAGAGCATCAGAACTTAGTCTTCTTAACTAATTGTGAATTTGTACCTTTGTACCAACCTTACTCTGTTCCCTACCCCTGTCCCTTTCACTGCCTCTGGTAGCCACTATTCTACTCTCTTTTTTCCTTTTAAATTTATTTTTCTTAATTGACTCATGATAATTGTATATGTTTATGGAGTACAGTGTGATATTTGGGTGCCTTCATACTGTGTGCCACGATCATATCAGGGTGCTTAGTATATCCATCACCTCAAATATCTGTCACTTCATTGTGTTAGGAACATTCAACATCATCTTGACTTGCTATTCAGAGATATGCAGTACTTTGATGTTAACTGAAATCTCCCTATATTGTTATTGTTATTAGACAAAATCTTATTCTTCCTGTCTCTCTACAATTTTGTATACACTGACCATCCTCTCCCCGCCCCCTCCTTCCCTTACTAGTCTCTAGTAACCACTATTCTTCTCTCTACTTCCATCAGATCAACTATTTCAGCTTCCATATATGAGTAAGGACATGTGGTATTTCTCTCTCTGTGCCTGGCTTAGTGAACTCACAATTTTCTCCAGGCTCATCCTGGAATGCTGCACATTCTTGCCATGTGATCTTCATGCACAAACTGACTCCCTTTCCACTCTATGCCATGTGCGGAAGCAGCCTGAGACCCATGCCAGATACAGTTGCCCAGCTGTGGACTTTGCAGCCTATGGAATCTTCATGCACAAACTGACTCCCTTTCCACTCTATGCCATGTGTGGAAGCAGCCTGAGACCCATGCCAGATACAGTTGCCCAGCTGTGGACTTTGCAGCCTATGGAGTTATGAGCCAAATAAACCTCTTTCCTTTATAAGTCACCCAGTCCCAGGTATTCTGTTTTAGCAACACAAAAATGGGCTGATACACCCATTGAGTTCATTTCTCCACCCCTTGAAGATGAGCTTGATCATGTGATTTTCTTTGGTCAGTGGATTGTTGACCAACGTTGACAAACATGACAGAAGTAGAGGCTGGAAGAACACACATTAGGGTTTTCCCTCTTTTAGCTGTGGTTAGACTCTATAGAGCAAGATGTGAAGATGCCTGGGGCCAGCCTCTTCTAAAATGGGAGACCACATGGAGAAAGGGGAGGCACTGATGGTCTGGACCAACTGCCAGACATGGGAGTGACTGATCCAGCTTAGACCATCCAGCTCCTGGGCAAGCCACCAGATGCCTGAATCTAGGAGAGACCATCAGAACTACCCAGCTGGATTCAGCTCAAATTGCTGACTCAGAATTATGAGCACGTAAGGTGGTTTTTAGGAAGCAACAGAGAACTGACATAGAAAGTAGCAGAAAGAGGATACTTCTGTAACAAAATAGTTTTAAAATGTATTTTTATTTTAAAATTAATTTTTAAATTGACAGAAATTGTATGTATTTATCATGACCCACTTGATGTTTTGAAATTTGTATACATTGTGGAATGATTAAATCAAGCTAATTAATGTACATACTACTTCACATATTTTTTTTGCATGGTGAGAACACATCTACTCTCAGCATTTTT